AAGGTCCAGCAGCAGGGCCTGGTTGTTCTTCCACAATCCCACCCACTTTTTCCAGTCCCAGAAAGACGAACCTGACTCTGGATGACAGCGCAGACTCCAGGCACAGCATACCTCATCCCGATTCAGCATTCGTCATTGCCACAGACAAAAAGCTCCATGCCAAGTGGGCCGCCGCTTTCGGTCACACCGTCGATTCAGAGGGCGACGTTGACATGACTTCTGTCGATGGTGATACACCAAATCCCTATCTTCCCTTTGCATCTGAGCTGGATTGGCAAATTGCCAAGTGGTTTGTGAAGGAGGACCCTGGGCACGCTGCTTTTGACAGGCTGCTGAAGATACCTGGGGTGGTGGAAAAGCTGGGTTTGTCCTTCAAGAACGTTCGACAAATTCACAAAACTCTTGATGACATTCCTGAGAGGAGTGGCCGGTGGAAGGCCAAAATCCTGCGCTACCCTGATCGCCCAAACGAGAAGTTCATCATACGATACCGAAATCCCATCGAGGTCATCAAAAGTCTCTGGGCAGATCCTTCTCTCAGTAACGACCTTGTCTTTGCCCCTTGTAAGGTCTACTCCAACATGAGCAGGAAGGAAAGGGTGTACTCAGAGATGTGGACCGGTAACTGGTGGAACACATTGCAGGTATGAACTTTTATGCGCATTTTGGGACACAGATTAAAACTAAATATCTTCCCTTCTGGCAGGGGAAACTGGCAAAGGGAGCCACGATCGCTCCAGTCATCATCGCTACGGACAAAACTCATCTCACCCAGTTTTCTGGGAGTAAATCTGCATATCCTGTTTATCTAACTATTGGCAACATTCCCAAGGCCATCCGCCGAAAGCCCACTCGACATGCATGCATTCTCCTGGGTTACCTTTCCCCCGATAAAATTAATCCTGATGGCCTCACCAAAAAAGAACTCAAGTGTCGAGGGCAGAGGCTATTTCACGACTCTATGCGCCACATTCTTTCTCCTCTCATCGAAGCTGGCACCAAGGGAGTGAAGATGACTGATGGAAAAGGAGACGTTCGCAGAGTCTTCCCTATTCTGGCTTCCTATGTCACGGACTACCCTGAACAATGCCTGGTAGCATGTGCAAAGAATACAACATGCCCGAAGTGCCAAGCCGAGCAGCAGGAACTTCAGTCCCTTGAAAAGTCGGCCGATCGTACTTCTCAGTGGACTCTGGAGAGACTGGCGGATGCTGAGAAATCCACCCCCGGAGGGAGGCAGTTTCACGACTACTGCTTACAGATGAAGGTTGCCGGAGGGGTGTATGAGCCCTTCTGGAAGGGCTTTCCCTACGCAGATATTCATATGGCCATCACACCAGACGTATTGCACCAGTTGTACCAAGGGGTGCTGAGCATGCTGACGGAATGGTGCCAATCTGCTATGTCAGAGAAGGAGCTGGATCGTCGAATGCAAAAGCTACCTCCTTGCTACGGAGTACGTCACTTTGGCAAGGGCATCTCAGTGTTGTCCCAGGTTTCTGGTTCAGAACACAAAAGCATTGGCCGAATCCTTCTCGCATGCTTGCTTGGCAAAATGTCCAAGGAAGCGTTACTTGCGGCACGTCACCTCCTTGATTTCATCTACCTTGCCCAGTACCAGACCCATGACGACGACACTCTACAATATCTTCAAGACGCTCTACAGGGCTTTCATGACCACAGGCAAATCTTCATAGAGATTGGCTGTCGAGAACACTTCAACATTCCCAAATATCATTCCATGACCCATTATGTGGAATCAATCAAGAGATTTGGCACCACCGACAACTACAACACAGAGATGTTCGAGCGCCTGCATATAGATTTTGCCAAGGAGGCCTGGAGAGCCAGCAATAAACGCAATGAATTTCCCCAAATGATCGACTGGCTCTCAAGGCAGGAAAAACTACAGGTGTTCGATAACTACGTTAAGGAGATCGTCACATTCCCATCCAAAGATAAAAAACCTACACTTGCCATCTCTCTTGCAAAATTTCCAAACGCTTCCAGATCCATGGATTTCATCATCCAGCAGCACCGATCTCCAAACTTTACCTACCACCTACGGGATTATCTGAACAGTCTGGCCCCCAGAGGTTCAAGAAAGCCTAAATCAACTGTGCCAGACCTGGCACTGCCCTTTGATACCCTTAATGTTTGGCACATGGTCAGAATGGTTCATGAGGGGATCGCTGATGATGCTGTGGAGGAGAAGGATCATATAAAGGCCATTCCTGCAACTGACCATCCTCCTCATGGGCGCTTTGACCCTGCCATTGTTTTGTCCACTGCACAGGCTGAGTCCACGGGCCTGCCAGGTACTAAGATTGCTCGAGTCAAGGTTATCTTTGCCTTGCCTTCCACCATCTCTGCCAAAGGTACAACAATCTCGTCGCCTGCCTTCTGGCCCAAAGAGCCTTTGGCCTATGTGGAATGGTACTCGCCTCCTTCAGGCCCCAATCCAACTACACTTTTCTATCAAGTTCATCCTCAGCAACGGACAACCGGAGGCAAAAGCTTTGGGAGATTGGGAGGCATTGTTCCACTTTCTACCATCAGACAGAGCTGCATGCTGACCCCAAAATGGGATGCCATTGACGATACTTCCTTCACTTCTGATACTGTTCTAGACCAGGACATTCCTTTGATTATTAATAACTTCAGTACAAACTTTGCTTATCAGTCAATTTGGTAGCACTTGTACTATTCTATCTATACATTCATGGAGTAGTAGTAATGATATCCATCTTGATACAAGAAGCTGAGAAAAGAAAAGAAAAGTCATCAGGTTACTTCCTTCTGTGAGAATACACTCAGAAGATGGATAAAGCCAAAAAAAGAACCACCTAATAAAGACTTGACCAAAAGGGGGACCAAGAAAGTTACAGGAAGATCAATGTGTGTACAAATACTAAGACTGATTATCCTTTGGGGGACTGGTTACCATGAGTTGGGAGGCTAAAGACAATGAAAGCCAGTAGAAGACATTCAAAGCTTACAAGGGGCTAGCCCCTGTTCTCAAAGCCACAGATACTGGTTTGATCTACTTTGAGCTTCTCTGGCAGGCTTCTCCAAATGATCATTTGTCTGACAAGCTTTTGTTGTCCTCAAAGCTACAGGGCTTTTCCTGATGTTGACGTTCCTCAGGAGTGAGTTTGCCGTTGGCGCCGAGGTGAGTGGAGTCTTTGGAAGTTGCGGTTGCGCGGGGAGCCGAGGACGAAGATTTCGAGGACGAAGGAGCGGGGGACTTAGATGACGGGGTGGACGCGGAAGAGGATTTCGCAGGCGCGGATTTCTCGAAGGCGCGGGTGTTGCGCGTACGCTCGGCCTCCCCGTTCCCAGTGACGCTGGTCGATGGCCTGCGCGAGGGAGCGGAGCCGTGCAAGCGAGCCCGGCTTCGAGTGGTTCAGAAGAGCGTCCTTGATTCTGTCCGGGAGACCCTGGTAGTAACGGTGCTGGAGAGCCGCGGGGCCCCAGGACACCAACGCAGAGTGCTGCTGGAACAACACATTGTACTTACTTATACGTTGCCTGTCCCCCATCTTGAGTTGGTCCAATGCCGCTTCAGCCTCCGCGGTAGCGTCAAACGCACCAAAATTCTCTTGGAGAACTTGAACGAAGGTCGAGTAGCTATGGAGCCATTCGGGATCCGCGGCGTCATCGATCAGCTCGGGCTGAAAGTAGGCGAACGCGTTTCCCTTGAGGTACAAGCAGGCGAACGTCACTTTATCCTCGTCGGAGGCGAGTGCGGGGGTGGCGTTGAAGTAGAGCTTGAGTTGTACGAGGAATGTGTTGAGTTTCAACGGGTCGGACCCGTCGTAAGGGCCGGGGGTGCGGGGTTTGGGACGGGAGGCGGAAGGAGCGGCAGGGGTAGCGGATGACTCACGATTATGGATGTCCTTGATTTCTCTGCTGAGCGTGGATAGCGCGTGAAGGAACGCGTGGTCCGCAGGGCGGAAGTGGTCTTCGGAGCCATTGTCGGAATCCCAGGGGTGCCGCGGTCCGGAACCGTGGAACGAGGGTTGCTTCTCCTCGTCCGCCTGTTCTGACCCATGGTTGCTCGCCGGAAGCGAGGGAGCGCGCTCTTCATTTGAAGGGATCGAGCGGGAATGGATCGGGGACAGGACGTTGAACGGGGGAAAGGACTGGATGGGTTCGGACTTGGGTGTCTCTGGAGGGGGCGCGGGTTGCGGGGCAACTCCCGCGGCGACCGTAGGGGAGCGGAACGGAGGAAACGACGGTGAGGACGTCGCACGCAGACGCGGAACCGCAGGAGCTTTTCCTTTGTTGGCATGGCTGCGCGCGTGGGCCGTGGTGTGTAGCGGAGAGACGAGGGTGGCGGCGGCTTGTTGGCTCACGCGAGTAGGCCGCGATGGGCCCGCTTGAGTGCCACCAGCCATGATGTTGACAAGGACTTGCGGGGACGAGAGCAAGAGCTGGGTTGTGAGTTCGAATATACTGTTAAGAGCCACACTCGCAGGGGGGGGCTCGGGATACGCGGACCCGCGGGTGCGCGGTTCCACGTAGACGCGTGGGGGAAACGGGGGAAACGAGGACGTACGGGCTTGGCTTCAGCTACTGGCTGCGCCTCCCACACTCTTGCGTGCCCTGTATTTCCGGGAGGAGTCCTACGCGGGTACCGAGGGTACGGGCGGAGGCGAAGAGGTGCGACAGGGGAAGAACCCACTAGAGGGGCGAGATGCGAGTGCGGAGAAGGAACTAATATTCAAACTAAGGTAGCTGTATGTACAATACAGGACTATATACTAAGGAACACGCGGTGTCCGCGCGTTCACGAAACAGTAATGAGTTCGGTCGTAGTAACTACAATGTGCTCGAGTATGTACTTAGTCCGTAATCCGGGAAGTCCGCGTGGCCGCGTGTCAGCGCGGCCCGAGCCCATAGTCGGGAAACGCACGTGGGCGCGCCCCTAGTAGCCCCTAAGGGGTTCCTTGGACGCGCCTATAACATCAGCGTTGTCTCTAGTTTGCCTTATGTAGATGCTTGAAATAATGAAGCGACTAGAGTGTGAGTTTATGTTAATTGAGTTGCGCTGCCCTTAAAGAAACACCAAAGTCCTTTGGATTTCCATACAGTGGCTCACATTTTCCAACTCGATATCAACAACGGCGAGGTTACCAACACCCCGGCAGGAACCTCACTATGTACAATTCTCACACAGTCTCGTCTCACTCAGAGGGCTGAGGCCACTGGCACCTTTCAGCTCGCCAGGGCTAACCTATTATTCCTGATCAACCTACCCTTGGATGAGGAGTTATTGACTGCCTGCAACAATGACTTCAAGGAACTCTTTACCTTTCCATCTATACTGCAAACGACAACTGAAGAAGATGGGACCTCCAACGAGTTACTAGGAGAGGTATATTTGGAAGTAGGGAATAGCTGGCGCCTCTTGGGGAAACTATTCCACCAGGGTGGCAAGAATGGAGAGGGCCAACAATCTTGTCGCTGCCTAAGAGGAATCCCTTTCATAATCAGAACGAATAATGCATTCATTGAGGGAAGTAGGGACCCTGTCCTGATGGCGGAGCCAACATGTATTGGACTGGCAGATAAAGGCAAGGTAAGCCCAATTGTGTTCTCTTTTTTGTGCCCTCTCTCCTGACTTTCAATGTGTATACAGACAAGGTTTTTCTTCAAGCACAACTTACATTTCCCTCTTATCCCTGCGCCCATCATTGCCCCTGCGGTCACCTCCACCCCTGCAGTCACCCCCACGCCTGTGGTCACCCCCTCCATCGCCCCCGCCTCCGTCGTCGCTCCTGCACCTGTTCCTACTTGGTCTGAACAAGTAGTGACCATGGTCTGGCGAGACACATACATACCTGGGGATGAAGTCGCTCTCCAAATGCTTCTTAACGGAAGCCACAGCAGCGACGTGGGCTTTTCAGTTGCCTTGGTCATCGGGCTAACCATCTTTCATAGAGAAGATCCAAAGGTAAATGTTTTATCCTTATCTAGAAGTTACTTTAGCTAATGTGTATCAAAGGGATTCCAGGCAAACTTTGCCAGCTTGGGGGCAAACACAATGAAATTTATCATAATTGAGTGCAAAAATCTCAGTTCAATGATACTACTGGATTTTTTTTCACAGTTTTCTCATTTTGACTATCAGACTACTGATCTGACCCGAGTCAGATCGCACATAAGTAAACCGGAAATCAGAAGTGCATTGCACGTCTTCTTGAAAACTATAACTTAGCATCTCATGTACTGCATAATCCATATCCATATCTATCACTAGCAAATGAGATAAGACTTGCACGCACGACTGGTTGTAAACACCAAGATGGTACTGGAAAACTGCATCTAGCGGCGTTGAACCCAACGCCTCATGTCTGTGCGCCTGGCCTGCATCGTTGAAACGCGGGGGTTTGTCATTGCGAGCCTCGTAAATGTTATAGAAGATGTCGAAGGAGCGGAAGCGCATGGTAGGGAATCTTGAAGCAGAACTGTTGAAGTAGTTCCTGAAGATAGTGAAGCGCATCTTGCCTCAATCACGGTCGGCTTCCTTCGTTCCGCCGTCAAGGAGCAGTGTTATGGTCCGATGTTTCTTTCTTTCTTTTCCAACTATCTTTCTTATCTTATCAGGCACATGATGTATTACGACTTACTACTTACGTCATCCGGGCCATCTGACTAATGGTCTCAGTCAGCGCCTCGCTGCTACTGCATGGGCGCAGTCAACAAGCGTCATACCACATGCAGCTGAGCTAAGCATTCCATGGAAAGACGGCAGGATGCAGCATGTAGTTAGACATGAGGATGTAGCATGTACAGTAGTATATAAGTGCCCTAATAGACACCCAGAGACGTTAACTCGTTCTCTTGGGAATACCACTAATACTAGTGCCTAAGTCAGCGTCTTCACTCTCGCTCTCCTCATCTCTTAAAAACTACTACTTCTCTCACTCCTATTCTTGTTGGGTCTGCATACGCCTTGTTGCATATTAGCGTCGCCCTAACAGAAGAACGAGTTACCTTTGTACGCCCGCCCAGCAGTGTTACCTGCGAAGAACCGACGACGAAGCAGGATACGTTTCACCTATCCCATTTCTCTAAATTCCTTAACACTTCTTCCATTTCATTCGATAGCGCCGTTAGCGCTTGATTGTTTATTTCATACCCCTATAGCCGTGCACCCTATTCGAACAACCGACTCTATACTCCAGCGGGGTAACGTTTAGACGACCCTCCGAGTGAGTCTTTAGGTGTTGACTGATCACCAACCCTCGGGGAAGGGTCAACGCGCAGAGTGCTGGGCAGAGAAAGAAGGCCCTACTCTGTTTGTTCAGCAAAACGGTGTACCGCTGTCACACTCAGTGGGGTTTCACTGAAATGTTTTGGATGTAGTCGGATCAGTCTAGATAGATCGGACAGTCACCCAAGTTGCTGCAGGCTGACTGTAAGGGCAACCTCAAGATGGCCGACAGCGCAGGCCTAGCAGAGGGAGAATCCAAAGAAATGAATAAGACTAACTACAATACATGAGAGAGCTGCTCACCTAGCAGAGGGAGAATCCAAAGAGAACAGGATGGGGATTCTCCATGCTAGGAAGCGAAGTATATACTGTAGTAGCGTGGGAGGAATGAAGGGTAACTGTACAGTACACCAGCCACAGGTACGAACGAATATCACAAGGTACGAGGGGGCATGTGATAATGAAGTGGAAGGGGAATGTACAGGAGTCGTGCCAGCGACCTGGGGAAGTGGGGACAAGGAGTAATGAAGTGGGAAAGGAGGATAGAGGTAGCCCGGACGAGCCCCGAAGTGTATCTACGAGTCCGAGCGAGTCTGAAGCGTCTGAAGCGTCCGAGCGAGTCCGAGGCGAGTCCGAAGTGCGGGAAGACTCCGGAGTCACCGGACGGGGCTCGGATGCGAAGGGAGTGAACGGAAGGGAAGCGGAAAGGTAAGGGGACAAAAGGAAAGGAGAGGGAATGAAGGAAAGGGGAAAGGAACGAGGAGGAAGGGGGCAGGACAGGGGGAGTAGGAGAAAATAGGAGTGTCCCCTTACACTGAGGTGTGTTATTGAAAGAATATTCACTGGGATTCTACAAGGTAGTAGAAAGGGAAATAGGGGATGGATAGGGATAGGGGTAGAAAAAGAGTGTAGGCTAGAAGTCAATAATGGCTTCACGAGGATGAGGAAGAAGGATAGAATACTATACAGTACTAAAGATAAGTTGAAATGAAGTATGACAATAAGACTATGATGAGGAAATATTCTTTCCCTAGGATACGTTGTATGACTCCACAATGAGACAAAACTATGAAGCTCTAGATCAGACGTTTCTGCTAGATCACTTCCGAAACTGAAATAACAATAAGACACCCTGCAGAATCGTTCTACAGTCTAAATGTCCAGGTTACGACAAAACAATATGCGGTGGAATCAATACACAGGTATCCAGAATAATGTAGACACAAGCTACCAAATTACTCTGTTCGCTAGTAAAGAATGCTTTCACTGATCTGAGTACTCAATTATCAATATAATCAAGACTACTAATACAATGAGACTATACAGAAGTTCTATATAGAAGCTAGGATAAGGACAAACTTTATCCTACTATGCTGAAGGTATTCATTCTCAGGGAACAGCTAGATCAAAGAGAACTAATAAATTGAACTTCACTTTGCATTGCGTTCGATGATTTGATAATGATTTCTATCTACTACAATTTGGGGGGTATTTATACTCTACGAATACTAAGGCTGTGCAAGGATCAAGAGTAGTAGGCTGTGCAAGGCTGTGCTAAAGCTGTGCTAAAGCTATGCTAAGACAGTGCTTAAAACCTGTTTCATCAGTGCCGAGCCTAAAACCAAGTACTTGCTTTATAATTGCTGAGTAAGGAAGAAATCAAATTCTTCTACATTCCAGAATATTCTTCCAAGTTCTACAGGTTACTGTATTGTCCTACAGTCTCCTATAATCTTCTTCAGCTTGTCTGAGTGAAGTGTAGTAATTGGTTGAATAATCCTGATGTAGGAGTGAAGGATAGGAGTAAAGGGAATTAAAGGGGCTTTGGAAAAGGGTAATGTAAGGTAAAATAAAGTCTGTGACCATAACACAAGATCCATAGGACTTGATTCAACTTGCGAGGTGATGTCTATGGATTATAGCAGTGTATGAAGGAAGGTATAAAACACTAATATTCATGTCACTTACTACAAATCCCAATTTGGAGTATGACACCGCTTCGCCCTTAGTTGCCGACGAACCCTACCTCGTTAATTCCATTTGCTCAGGCACCGGCGCGTGCTAGGTTGAAACTTGGAATTAATTGACAGGAACCACTACATGCCCCCATCCCGCACACACCTCACCCGTTCCCACATCTACACTGTTTTCCCTTACTACCTCATCCCCGACCCGACTCTTAACCGACGAAACCAACGAACCGCCATCCAGGCATTGAAGAGCACCCCACAACTCTTCGAAACTATCATCATCCCGGTCTCCCCATCTAACCTCCGAAAGCCACCCCGTCACACTCCCGCTCGCCACTTCTTTAACGGAAACAATGTCATACTCGACGACAAGACCGATCGCCGTGCAGCCTTACGACAGGCAAAGGAGGCCGGCGCTTCTCGGGAGAGATACGTCAGCGGACGCCGCCGCCGCCGCGGGAACTAGTATTTGGGGAGGAGGAATGGATCCCAACATGCCAGCCACTTTTGTTCCCAACCCACCGACACCACCGCAACAATCGAATGACATGATGGCGGCAATGAGGGAAATGATGGAGAGTATGGAGGCAAGGATGGAGGCCCGGATCCAGCAAGTGCTGAATCAACGAAGCAGACCACCCAGCATGGGTAGTCAAAGGCCGCTTCCCCAAATACCCAGAAGAGCACCGCCACCACCACCCGGACCCTCTTTATCGCCGCCACCCCCAACACCGTTTGCAGACACTCCCGACGCGCCCCAAGCCAGAAATGGCCTGAAAATGGCGCGCCCAGAATCGTTCGACGGAGAAAGGGCAAAGTGCCGGACCTTTATCCGGAATATTGAAGTATACGTATTCGTGAATGCGTACCAGTTTCCCAACGAGGCCACAAAAGTCCTCTTCCTTCTTTCCTACATCCAGGGGAAGAAGGTAGACAACTGGAAGAATACAATGACGGGTAGAGTGCTAGACTGGGTGAGAACGCGAGTGCCGGACGAGCAGGTCTCGAGCCTCCGAAGAATTTGCCGAAGCCTCCAGGAGGCGTTCGGAGACCCGAACCCACGGGACACGGCTATCACGGCCCTGGCCCACCTGCACCAAGGATCGGATACGGCGGAGGACTACGTTATGAAGTTCAATGCCTACAAGGACGACACAGGCTACAACGACGTGGCCTTGGTCGAGCTATTCAAGAGAGGATTGAACACGGGTTTGCTAACCCGGATATACAGTAGGAGGCCCCTACCAGGAAGATGCGAGGAATGGCAGGAAGAGGCCATTGCCTTGGACAGACAGTGGAGAGAGGCTCAGGCCTACGCCAAGGCGGCACCGGCCAAGCCAGCGGCCAAGACGACGACGACGCCACAGAACCAGTGGCGCCCATATTACCAGAAGCAGACGCCGCCCCAAAACCAACAACAGCAGCAGCAACAACCTGCAAAGCCCACACCCCCGGCTCCGCAGATCGCAGCTAGAGACCCGAACGCGATGGACGTGGATAGGTCACAGAGGGGGCCGATCCGTTGCTACAAGTGTGGAGGGTTAGGGCACATGGCCCGAGATTGCAAGAGAAGGTTGGACGTGAGGCAGATGACGTACGAAGATCAGCAGGAGTACTGGCGGGAGGAGCTGACCCGCCAGGGTTTTTCCGGAGGAACCCAGGAGGCGTCGACCTGAGTTCCAAAAATAAGTATGCAGCACTCGTCTCGGAGCCGGACTCCTCTTTTGTCGCTGAATCCCCTGTATCAGTAGTTACGAACAATATATCTATCCCTTCGACATCAGACGAGACACCTAAGACGCAAGAAAAAGAAAAAACAACCAAAGATATCTATGTGCAGAGGTCATTCTCAAGCAAAATTATGTACCAATCTCCAT